CACCTGAGAGCCTGCAGGAGTCATGAGCGGGGTGTGTGGGGAGGGGGGGAGGGGTGCGCTCTGCCATGAGGAAGTTCGGCTTAAAAACACGTCCCAGAGGTGTTTCTGGTACCAAAAGGTGTTTCTGGTCCCCACCTGTCGTTTTGCTCCTCAGCATGGCTTCATAAAAACACTGCAGGAGTTCTCAAATATGCGTGAATGAGTCAAAGCAAGGCTTTGGGCATGTTTTTTTATGAGAGTATAACATTATAACATGATATAAAACTCAGAAAAGTTGATTTTTACATGATATTGCCTCTTTAAAGACAATCACTGACAAAGATTGGGGGAAATTAAAACGTTATTCAAACTCTAATAATGAGGATGGAGATGGTGCTTTCTTATTTCCAGGCTCAACAAGCATGAGAACCTCGATGAGTCCATGTAACACATTTTACACATGTTTATTTTTTTATTCTCAGAAATTTAATCAAAAAACTAACCTGAGCAGGGCTCAAGAGAGCCCTCAAGAGTTTAGACAGGTTTCTAATGAGAAAGTGAGGTTCAAGTTCATTTTTATGTGTTGTGATAGTGAGAATCTAACAAATAGAAAAGCATTACATCAGTTAGACTGATGTTTTGATTATTGTCTTCATTGTTATTCATATTCGACTAAATAAACTTTCACTTTAATGTCAGTGAACATCAGACATTTGTTTGGCAAGTACCGTAATGAGTTTTCAGAAAACCCTAAAATGAAGCCACTAACGGAGACCGAACACGTCTAAATGTAATTTAGAAAAGAATGAAAGTGTTTTTCCTCCTGTGAGCTCACTGCTGTCGTCTCACAGGATGAGGAGTGCCTGAGGCCTGGGGATGCCAGTGACTTCACCTTCCTGGAGAAGCTGGAGGACACTGTGGGAGGACACCCTCACTTTGTCACGTTAGTTTCACAATTAAGCCTAAACTGTTTAGAGTTCACATTCTGATCTTAGTTGGATTTATAAATTCACACTCTGTGTGTGTGTCTGCGTGTGTGTGTGTGTCTGCAGTCACAAGCTGGCTGATGGAAAGACCCGGAAGGTAATGGGCCGAGAGGAATTCCGGCTGCTGCACTACGCTGGAGAGGTCAACTATAATGTCAACGGTGTGTGTTGCATGATAGGATTTTGTTGCTTTGTGGCAGAAGAAAAGGTATTATTGTTGGTCTGATATAACAGTTAATGACATAAATACCTTGTGTTTAGCCCAGTGATCTATATTAGTGGATTGGGCGTGGCTAGCATGCTGCTAGCTACATGGACGTGTGCACACTGGAGCTGTGTTAGGCATTGAAGAGCCTCAACAAAATGAATGGATGTCAGTGGACTGTGAGGCGTCATCCTGATGAAAAACTCTTATAAAGTTCTTATTTCTTGCTCCAATTTTACAAAATATGGTTAAAATGAAGCTGAAGAAATTGTCAATTTTATAGTTTACAGAACTTACAATTAAATAACAAATTAAAATGACTAACAGTGGCTTAAAATAAGTATTTTGCATTTCACGTGTTTTTTTTTTACATAAAAGTCAATGGGCCTCATGCAAGAACATGTTCGTATTCTTATCCTAAATTTCTCTTATGGTGCGTTCACACCGAACGCGATTTCAGCTTCAAAATCGCAGCCAACGCTGAAGTTTGAAGCTCGTGCACTTTGAGGTCAGACGCAGGACACCTGCGCTGCACAGCGACAGCCGCCCCGCCCCTCCCTCCTCTGTCCTCTGT